GGGTGTATGCTGCCGGAAACAACTCGGACAATGACGTGATCAAATCGGACGCTGACGTGATCCATCCGCTTGAAATCGACAAGCTGAAAGAACCGATTGCGTGGCATTTGCTCGAGTGGTGCCGCGTCGTGTGTGCGACGTACCACGTGCCGATTCGGAACTTCACGGCGTCATTTGCCGACGGCAAAGCGTTGTGCTTGATGGTGCACTACTACCACCCTCAGGTATGTCACGATGCCATGTCAATGATATATATATATATCATTTCAAGACATCCTATGATATGTCATTTTCTGACGTGGGGTGGGGTAGTTGCTGGCGAAAGGGGAGATCCAATGGATGACCAGCGACACGACCACGGAACGGATGGTCACCAAGACGCCGTTGCTCGCCAACGAGCGCGCCAACTTTGCTTTGGTCAACCACAAAGTCAAGCAACTCGGTCAAGTGCCGGTGCTGCTGCCGCTGTTCGACTCGGAGCACCTTCCCGAAGAAAAGTGCATCCTCACGTTTCTCGCGTACTTGCACTCTCGGCTCCTTGGAGCCAGTCGCGAGATCCACGCAGCATTCTGTCTCCAGGTAGGCATTTCTTATACTGTATATACCAATGTGCTTGGTGTATGATTCAAATGAACAAGGATATATATATATAAATATTATATATATATACATATATTGGCATTGTGGGGATTAATGGAATTTGATTTGGGTGTAGCGTTGGTGGGTGCAGCGATCTCGACTCAAGCAGCAGGACGCCCTGGAAACACAACAAAATGACGCCGCGATGGCTATCCAGCGGTGGACGCGGCGGGGGCTGCAGATGTGGCGGTGTCGACAGACTTGGACTCAGCTGGCATTCCAACTGACGCTGGCGCTTCGCGAGGAATCTGCCGAGAACGTGCAAGACGAGGGCATCCCGCTGCGATGTCATCTCAAGCAAGCGCTGGCCATCCTCGAAACGTCGCCGTGGGTGCACCAGGTGCTGCAGGCGGTGAAAACGCTGGAAATATGCGTGCGGGTGTCCAAGGAGTGCCGCGTCGAGTGTCTGGCCCACCGCGTGCCTCGGTTGCTGTACAAGACGATTCGAAAATACAACCGCAGTCGTCGGCACTCGGAGCTGCTGCACCAGTTGCTCCAAGTGTGTTTGTATTTGACGCCTTCTCGTGGAGAGGCTACAACGACCATGTCGACACTGGTGGCGGCGGATGGTCAAGATGTGGATGGCGTTGCCGAGAGTCTGGAGCTGTGGATGGATATGCTCCATATGCACCGCGAGTCGACGGATTTGTTTACCCTGAGCGCACGTCTATGCAAGCGGACGCTGGCCACGCTCAACGCGAACAAGTGGTCCATTGACAAAGCGCTGTGGCGGTTGCGCCACTTGCATGCGATGATGGCCAAGACGGCCAAGACCCAGTGGAACGTGGACCGCGTGGCGCCGATGACCCACTATACAAAGGATCACTTGCATCCGCAAAAAGCAGCGTCCATACTGCACGCCCTCGTCGACGTGGTGTGCATGATACCATAGTACATTAACGATACTATACATATTAATACGTGATATACGAGTTTCAGTAGTTGATGACCAACCAAATATATAAGTACTGTACCAGCATCAAAAGCATCGACCTTTCAGTGGTAATAGTATTAGTATTAATTGTTGTCTTGTGAAACCGATTATGTAACTGCTCGTGCTTGTCGCGGGAATCGCATCGCGTCGACTCCATGTTTTGTCCAAAGCCAAAACCAAATCGATCGACAACGACTTCAAAAGTCAAGGGCATTGCACTCCACCGTCAGGTATTTCAGTGTCTTGTTGTCGTTCTCTCAGTTTAACAATGCGCAGCACTCGACAGTGTCCACTTTGGCAATACCCCCTGGCAACACTCCAACTGATATAAGCAATGTAAGTCCCCTGCTTGCACTACGAATCGCTCGGAGTCACTACCTTGTAGAGTGGCTCTGGAATCCCTAGACCAACGAGTAACGTCTATGCGTCGCCACAGGCTACCTCCTACGTCAAGGGTCCAACTATGAGGTAGGAACGATCTATAATACTCATCGCGTTGTCATGGTGGTGGCTGTATATTGTAGACGATGTCGTTCGGCCACGTCTATTCGGGGAAAAGTGGCCGAAGCTGCCATAATGAACAACTGCCGCCAGGACAAGCAGCCAATGATGTTGACCTCGTCCAAGTTCACCCCTACGAACTGTTTGAAGTTTGGACAAGATGCGAGTTCACCGCCAAGATTGAAGCTCCACAAACCATCGGTGGCCATCCATCATTCGTTCAAGCCGAAGCCCACCCACAATATCGTCGGGCAACGCTCAAACGTACCGACCATAAGACCCTCGACGCGCCTGACTCAGCTTGAAAGCGAATTCGTCAAGAGAATGGCCGATCTTGACTCGTTACAAGTAAGTCCTACTTACTATTGACAGTATGAAGGCGTCACCAATCTGTCACATACTGACTGTTAGATCCAAAACAAAGCCAGCATTCGCCTTCAAGCCGCGCGCGACATGTTTGACGAGATTGTCTTGCAAGACACGGTAAGACCATGTCCCAACATAGAGCACGTACAGTACATATTTATTAGGCGTACGGGGGTATGCTGGGCATGATTCGCGACGTGTTGAACGAGTTCCTTCCAAGTCAAGGCACGTTTGTTGAGGGGATACGTTAGCCCTTTGGCCTTAACCTGTGAACTTTTAGAAGACAGGAACAACGACGAAGGCGCTGACCAAAACTCCAACTTCTTTGACATGCAATGCCATGACCACGGTACAAATTAGTATTTCTTTATGGATGTAGCTATCTATGGCTAACCGTGCATTAGCCCAATCATTACACGAACGTGGTAGCGCTGCGATCCTGTCGCCACCCCCTAACAACGTTATGGTTCCACGCTTGAATTTCGAGTCGCTGCATTTATTCCAAGATGGTTAAAACAACAGATAATCTCAACGCGGACGACTTGATAACTGTGCGAGAATGGCGTCGAGGAGTTTTTGCTGGTCTGCTTGGACGCGAACAACGTGGTGCAGCGTTGCCGTCAATTGGTGCACATACCATAGCACGATCGCCAGGCCAACGAGGACGAGGATATCCCTTGAACGAGATGGAAATGACTCGGCGATCGAACGAGGTCGTGGAAGGACTTGGGTGTTTCGAGTCGTCTTTGGTTGTTCTACTTCTGGGGAACTCTCGGGGGATGCTGCTGGTACATCCTGTGCTGGTTTGGCTTGATATGCTTCAATGGCTTGGACTGTCCAGTACTTCATGGTTTCTTTCGACTCGGACGCTGTCGCACTTTCAATCTAGAAAATATCACCATGGGCAACGAACGTACACCGTTGTGACGGGGTTTTGGGATCCTCGGTCGTTTTGATACCTGTTTCTTCAGCCACGTGTTTTTGATCCAATGCAAACGAACGCCCGTGTCGAGTCGGCACTCGTTTGGGCTGTGTGTGGCAGCAGTAGAAAATACCCACCGGCTTTCGGCTCGAAAGTAGTCGTGATATGGCGCGTCGGTCACGGTGGTCGTGACGGTCAGCACCAAGCACCCATTGGCCTTGTCATATTTCAATCGTTGCTTTTGCACCGTGGGAATGCTGCTGGGGCCGACCATGTACTTTTTATTGTGCGTGTACGCAACCGTACGGACTGCCTGAAACTGCTCGAGCCGGTCAAAGGCTGCGTACGACGTCTCGTTGCTGTGCCACGACCCTACATCCCAACGCCAGCCATTTTGAAGTGTCCAGTTCCCCGTTGTTATCTGCACCTACCAACGTTGACAAGCGTTTCCCCACAACTTTCCAGCAACGTGGTCAAGAACGTGGTCGGTTGCCAAAACTGGGTAAAGGCGACGTCCACACTGAAGGGCAGCACAAGTTGGTCCACCACAGTGTCGTAGTCTTGCGACAGGATCGCCAGTTCCTCAACCAGGTCAAGGGTCGTCGTGGCGGCTGGCACGAATGCAATCGTGGGGTCGTCACTGGGGGTTTCACTTAATGCAGTCGTGAGCTCTGGGGCCAAAATGTCTTGCGTTTGTTTCTTGATCTGTTGCAATTGCAAAATAGCTTGCACGCATTCATCCCTAGAGCCCAAAGCGAACATATATGTTTTTGATATTTTTATAAATATATAAATTACGTACCGAAAGATAAACGAGGCGAAAAAGTGTTTGCCTTGGGTTGTGGTGGTCAGCTACAATTCCACTGGCGTGACGACACTACTCCATGTAATAATAATAATCGATGATGATTCAACTACCTTACCTCCATACCATTCGGCACGACAAGGGCCGTGTTTTTCTTTTCAACGATCGCAATTTCAATGATTGGAACGACCTAAAAACGTATCGATATATATATTTATATATTTTACATGAGCATAGTATTCATTGCGTGAAATACACAGGACTCACCACGTACGATTCCCGCCACCCCGCAAAGCACAAGTATGACTGCGACAAGAACAATCGGCCATGATGTGGGAAATTATTGAGGTACAAAGCACACGAAAAGCTCGTCACCACTTGCTCCGACGGTGGCAACTATGTCCAGATTTTGATGACACCTGTTCGTATATGAAATATTGGTAAACGTACGTTGAAGTTCTTTTGCAAGTCCGAGTGCCCAAACGAGTCCTCCTTTTCCGCTTCCGCCGCGAGCACTTTGTCTTGGAGGGCGGCGGTCTTGTTGTTGCTGTCGTCGGTGGGGGCAATGGTGGCGGTGCGGATGGACAGCGAGCTCAGCGCGCGAGACAACTTGGGCTGAGGCGTTTTCTCAAAAGTCTTGAGTTCGGTGGCGAGCAATGCGTTCCCATGCAGCGTCGGGATCATCGGTTCGTGGGCCTGCCATGGCACTTGCGCTTGCCGAATGAACTCGCGAATGTCGCTGACGGGGCTGATTGTTTCTACTTCCCTTAAGACGGCGGTGGACGCGTGCAGCAGACCCGCGACTAAGTGCTCGTGCGCTTTGACGAGCGATCGAAGCGAGCTCTTCTTCACGTCCAGCCGGTACTTTTCGTTCTTCATACACAGCGACACAATCTGGCAAATGTCCTATGTACGTTATACAACGTTAGATGATTGAGTTTATTCTAAACTGGCAACCCAAATGTGCAGTAGAATCGGCAGAAAAACACAAATGAGCCAATCAGATTGTAGGAAATTATCATCGAAATGAGTGTAGCACCTAGTGTGATTGCTATCACCTCTTTGCATGCATACAAAATATTCAATAATTTTACCAAAGATTTGCCCAATCTGCACAAATATCTTTTTGGGTAAAAGGACAATACAATCTCAAAAAAAGATGTGTTGTACTTGACGACGCAGCTCGAGTTTTGCGGTCATCGCGGCACCGCTGGCGTCCACTTGGCCTTTCAAGTCGGCGACTTCGTCCTGCAACAGGTCGGATTTCACCACGAGCTTTCGCTCTCGATCCACGGGACTCTCCATGAACCGCTGCAGCATCGCGTCCTTTTCGATGTTCGATGCAAGGGACGCTTTGGTTACTGCCAGCTCTTTGGATTTGGCATCGAGTTTTTGCTCGAGCTTGGTATGGCTGGCCATGTCCGTCGCGACCGACGCCAGGAGATGGTGCAGCTCGTCGTCCATTTTCAGTTTCGTCTCAATGTACTCGGTTTTCATGGTGTCGAGGCTCAACGACACGGGCTCGGCCAAGAGGGACCCAAATTCCTAACGGCACCAACAGATACATGACATATGGTTCTATTCCGAAGTTCGTACCTTGTGCAAGTAGGCCACGCGTTGCATGTGCATGAGCACGGCGCCCCATCCCCGGTCGAGCGTCGTTCCTTCGGCAAACACCACGGGCGCCGCCGACGAGAACAGCGTCGCGGCTTCGTTCGACAAGGGCGAGTACGATGTGTGGATCCTCTCCAGCGCCCCCACGAGGGTTTCCTCGGCGGAGATGCACTCGACGAGCGTATTTAGCATCGTGTGTGTGAACACCACGCCCTGGTCCGTCATTGTCTGCATCTTGAGCACGAGGGCGGTGATAGAGGCGGGTGAAATGTCCACCTGCAGCTCCACGTCATTGCCTTCTTTGTGTTTCAGACCCAACAGCTTGGTGAACCCGTCGTCGATGTCGTCTAATACCAAGCAGTGAGACCTCGATAACGTCATTGGCATCGTACCCAGAACGTCGATCGACTTGAGAGCTTCGCGCATGCCACTGATGAGTCGCTCAACTCGACCCATCATGGCATTCCTTGACTACATTATCGAGTTTTGATCGATATGGAGGGATTCACGTCGACGATACCTTTTCGGAGCGGACCAACAGATCCTTGATGTACTCCAAGCGCTGCTCCTCCGTGACTTCAAACGCGATGAGGTTTTCTTGGACTTGGCGCTCATAGCTCGTGTACTGGATGTTCATGGCGTCCACGGAGCGAACGTACGCGTCCTCGGACGCTACCACGTCCTCCAGGCACGACGCCATACGTTGCTTTTGTCTCTCAAGGGAGCCCAAGCCCAGACCCTTCGCGGTGTTGTCCCATACCTTGGAGAAAATGTCCACCTTGTCACTAGTGCCGTCGGCGGCAGGCGGGCGGCGAATCGACTGGATCGTGTCGATGGCTTCCGCACACTTTTTGTCGTATCGTTCCTTGGCCTTGGACATCTTGTTCATGCATTCCACGTACTGTGTTCGAAGCTTCGAGCCCTCTATGAGACCGACCAGTGTGAATTTTGTCGAGGAGATTGAAGGATACCAGTGATCAGTCGCTGGATCTGGCTTTCTTGCTGACTGGTACACGCTTTCATACCAGACACGATGCTCGACGTGTGCATGTTTGAGAACTCGGCGTACTCCAACGAGATGGCGGCGATCGTGTGGTGGAATGTGTTCCATGTGTTGGCGACGTGCTTGGCCCAATCTTCAGTTTTGACGTTCCTGGATGTCTGTTAGTGCAGATACACTACCATCGTGTCCTTACTGTTGGATCTTGGCCAGTTGTTTGCTGTAGAACTGCTCATGGGCTGCCCTGTCTTGCAAGTACGACGAGATCGCTTGACACGTCTGCACGCCGTTCTTTCCCTTGCTGCACACGGCATTGAACGCACCGAACAAGTGGAATTGGTAAGACACAGGAGCGCATGATGTGGTGTCTTGGGCTCTTGCCGAAGTCTCTGTCGAGTCCGCCTCCATGACAAGTACGTGCGTGCGAAGGCGTTGTGTTGTCAAATCTGGTTAGAAACTTGTGTAACGTGATTATTTTTATACTTTGCTAAATTTAAAAAAGCACGATAGTACTACTATTACTATTAGTACTATCGGGAGTAAAACGCAATAAACAAACGCATTCTCTGTCAAGCTTAAGTCATCGACCAACAGCCGCTTGTCCTCTGCGTGCGTCGTGCGAATGCCTGCTATCACGTCCACGAGCTCTGCATGATACGAAGCGACCACCTTGCGAAGGCTGGACTCTCGCAGCAACTGCAGCAGCCCCGCCAGGTTCGTCTCAGCGACCAGCTGGGTCGCGACTATCCAAGAACACGCCGTTGCAATCCGCATGCCTTCGTACACGAGCGTCGAATAGGCTGCTTCCAACTGAGGAGTGACCAGAACCTTGACAAACGACGCCACCAAGTGGGTCTTGAGCACGTCCGGTGTCCGTTTCTTTTCCCCTCCGCTACCATTCGCATTCGCCTTCAAGCACACCACGAAGGCCATCACAAGTACCACGGCATTGTCTTCCACCGACTGCTTGGCCAACGTAGGAGCCAAAATGGACGACAGCGACGAGCCAAACTTGAGCCCGCTCAACAGTCGACACACTTGCGGACACAAAAGTTCGTTTCCCTGGGCGAACAGCGTGCTCATGTAGAAACTGAGCAGCGCCCCCCGATCGAGCTTGTGCAGCTAGTCCGACACGATATCCAGGACGAAGCTCTTGGCGTCCACAGAAACAATCTCCTCGTGTTGTTCCACGGGTCGTCCCACGACGATACGGTGGAGTTCCTCGCGGCGGCTGTGACCGTCACATTGTCCACCACTTCCACCTCCATTTGGTCTGTACGAACCCCCTGTTCCCGCCGCGACTTTGCCCTTGGCACCGCCGCCACCCCCGCCCCTGCGAGACTTTACGTACGTACTATTTTTGGGAGTGGTATGTCTAGTGTTGTGACTATGAGTGTAGCCAAGTGGTATCTGTGACGTGGCAGCCCCCCAGGAAGTTTGAAGAGGTATCGCGTAGCCGGCAAAATAATAAAACTTATACTACGTAGTAAATTGTATTGGATTGTTCATATAATCAATATATTTATTGTACGTATTGCAACTTACTTCGAAGTATTATGATATTAATATATTATCGATGATGATCCCTGACAATTGGTGGTAATAGTACCGTACAACAGTACGCCCACCAATTCTCATTGTGGATTATTGTACGACCTCTGAAATCTGACTTTTAGGTGGACATCTGGTCATTTGGAGTGCTCATGTACGACTTATCAGTCGGTACGCCGCCACTTGAAGCCACAGATACCACATCTACATACAACCGCATTCGATCGGTGGATTTGCGATGTCCACCGCATATTTCCATCAATGCGTGAGATTTACTCCATATCAAAGACCCGGCCCATTGCCTGCCGTTGGAGTTCATTCTCAAGCACCCGTGGATTATACCACAAACGCCATTACGCCTTAATATTGTTAAGATAAATATATATTCGCAAAAAAGTTAAATTATGTACTAACTACCATGGCGTGCCATGGGCTCCAATTCGTGGCCGAGTCGACGGCGCAAGTCCTCCATGGCAGTGTCCCACGAAACCTTGTGGGACTCCTCAAAGGGGAGGTGGACCTGATGCTTTGGCACGTTCATCGCAACCGTCCATTCGACAACTGTCTTGGTCATGGCCTCCAGTTGCTGACCGGATTTACCAGCCGATTGGTCGCAGTGGGCTCCCACTTGCACCTTGGTTGGTGCATCTTGGAGTGATGACGCTGGTACTGCATCGTTCTCACCAATAACCTACGGAAGGACACAATGATGCTTGGTGGAAAGATAGAAGTGGAAACGTACTGCAAACATTACGTAGCCGACCCATAGGATGCGCCACATGGTTTCCCACACAAGGCTGAAATACGAGCGGCGGCGCCCGACTTGGACGGACGGACGTGCGCCATCAATGTGACCAGCAGGAGCAGTAGCATTGTTGGTAGCAACCGACTGATCCGGGGAGACTACGGCCTTCCTCTCGTTGTCCATGGGTACTGTGGTTCGGTTGGGAGACGAGGGAACACAAAACTTGGGCAGCGGAAGGCTGTGTGCTGGAGGGCCGGTGATCGCCAATGCTGCCGATAGAGGTTGGACCATCGCAGGGTGGATCTTGCTTGGGCGGCGAGTCTCTGTCGCCATGACGTTGTCGAGTATGCACGACAATGCGTCCTTCGAGTACAGTATGGAGCAGCCCCAGGTCGAGTCAAGCGTTGACACATCAATCACCGATGAGGTCGACGACAACGGCAAATCATCCCAGCTGTTGTCGAGTTGGGTGGCCACGACAACCACCGTTGGCTCACGCCAATCGTCGTCAGCACCGTCATCATGGGCTTCGACTTCAATCATAGACACGCTCCAGTCCAGCTGGTCGCCGCTTCGAGGGGGGGATGAGTCCCCAATGAGCACCGAGGACAAGTCATCCCAGCTGTCGTCAAGTTTGTGGGCCACGGCAGCCATCGCCGGCTCACGCCAATTTTCGCTGTTGTCTTCGTCTTCGATAGTCGACACGCTCCAGTCGAGCTGGTTGCCGCTTCGAGGGGGGGATGAGTCCCCAATTAGCACTGTTGACAAATGATCGCAGGAGTTGTCGAGTTTGTTGGCCACGGCAGCCACCGACGGCTCACGCCAATTGTCGTCAGCACCGTCATCATGGGCTTCGACTTCAACCATAGACACGCTCCAGTCCAGCTGGTCGCCGCTTTGAGGGGGCGACAACTCTGTAATGAGCACCGTGGACAAGTCATCCCAGCTGTCGTCAAGTTTGTTGGCCACGGCAGCCATCGCCGGCTCACGCCTATTTTCGTCTGCGCCGCTGTCTTCGTCTTCAATAGTCGACACGCTCCAGTCGAGCTGGTCACCGCTTCGAGGGGGGGGTGAGTCCCCAAT